GCTAAGCCAAGATGATCGAGCCAATGAGGCCAGGCAGGTTGAGCTTCGCCTTGGTGACGTAGCAGATCCCGTAGAGTGTGACGCTTGGAAAGGAGACGGAGTACTGCAGCTGCATAGTTAGCTGCAGGCGGCCACCACAGGCGCTGATGGCGGATTGAGAGGTTGAGTCGAGTGGTGATTTGCTAAGGGATCGCCAGAGTTTCTTGGAGATGATCGTGATGTCCGAAACAGTGTCCAACTGCCATCGAACAGGGTGCCCATTTAGTAGAGCGTCGAGGAACTTCCTGCGGTCAGCGTTGACTTGGAAGGTGGCGAGCAAGCTCATGGAGCTGCCAACCCAGCCAGTTTTGTGCGTAGGTCTGGATCGTGACCTCTTCGTTTGACAGTGGGTGGGGGCCAGACCAGTTTTGACCCCTTGTGCATCGTAGAACAGCAGTAGCCATCACGGTACTCCTCCGTGTCACAAGGCTGGCATCGGTGCTGGTGAAAGTTACAGTCTCGGTGGAAGTGCCAAGCACTGCAGAATCGGCACGGATAGGGTGGGGACTTCGCTATGTCGGGTTGGGTAGGCTGCCCAGAAAATGGCGGTATTGGTGCTGTGACTGTCTAGTCCAAACCAGGTGCGGAAGAACTTCGGATCATCACGAAGCCATGTTTCAGACTGATCAGCATTTGACACTCCTCGACCATGTTCTGCAGTGTGATCGTGTTGACTTTTTTGTAACTTGGACAGAAGGCGCGTTCTGATGTCGGCATCGTGGGTGGATTAGAGGTAAGAAATGAAAACCAGGCACTTGAACTGGTCTTCTCTGAAGGAGCTAAGTTAGAATCATTCGCATTCCCGACTTACGATTTCCGCATACGTGCTGAAATCATCGGCATTGTGCTTGGCCAGCTGCAGACATTGGAACTAGGTGTTGAACAGCGAGAACTGTTTGGCAAAAATCTGCGACAACCTGCGGACCGTCTCAACAAAGGTAGGGTCGCGGGGATTCTTTGGCAAGATGAAGTTTGTATACCGTAGGTGCTCGACTGTGTCCAGTTTGCGCAGAAGCAGCCGGACCTTCCACGCGTCATGCTGACAAGCCAGGTCAACACTGAATAGGTCCTCGTATAGCTTATACCAAGAATCGAAGGTGACATGAGCGCAGGATCGTACAGGAACTGCGACATACTGCCAGCGACATTGTCAACCGAGTGAGAGTTTCCAACGGAACCTGACTGAATGGAAGAACTGGAAAGTTTTTCTGTGAAGGCAGACATCAAATTGAGCTGTTGTTGAAACAGCGACTTGAAATCACTGATCCTAACTCCGTTGCCATTTTGTTATAAATGCCTCTTGGTTACGCCACGCTCTGACGATCTGGTATCATCTCTCCTAGTCAGCCGAACGAATGAGGCTTGGAACTATTTCACGCACGACAAAGTAACCGATGAAATTCGAAGTTGTACGCTTCGTAAAACTTAGGCGCAACAGTTACTACGCGCGAGTTGAACGGGCTCCCATACCGAACGCAATTTCACACGCAGCTAGCCAAACCCCAGAGAACAAGACAAAAGACAGGCCTTTCGCGTAGGCACTTTTACCGTCCAGGCTCAAGGCGATTACAGCGTAGTCCAGCGTTTCTTTTATGCCTCGATGACGCCGATGATTTGCGTAATCAAACCTTGGAACCAACTGAATTACTACAATGCTAAACATGCTAACGAAATATGCTGAAAAGTGAAGGTTGATAGATGCGGAGGTTGGACTGGAAAACTGAATGTTTTATGGTTTAAGGTTCACCGGAAGCAGTAAGGTTTTCTGAGGTATAAAGGCCAATCGAAATGTGAATGTCTCACGAGTTGGAAGGCTGATCGAAACATGTGCACTTGTCTGAATCGAGTCTCACTGCCTTATGTTCAATATAGGGACTTCGGGTCCCAATAACACCTACGTTAAGTCGATCAACGCCTGTTTATCATTACCTGTGCCCTGGTTGTTCAAGTTACTTGGGACGTACTATGAGGCGACTATGCACTGAATCCGCGAACACATTTCGATGCGGTTTGACAGAGTTGAATCAAGGACTTCTAAAAGCCTCATCATGTCTACTTCCCTCAGTACGGTTACGTATGCTCTTAAACCGATTACGCGTTCATATAATCAGTTTCTGAGCAATTCTCATGCTCTTTTTGTTAACGTCTCTTTTCTATTGCTGAAGCTATCTATATCCGCTATCTCCAGAACGTGTTAAGGAAAGAGCCAGTGCTTTAAAATTTGTCAGAGCACAACGGTTACAACGAGTAGAATTGGTGTTTTATGCTTGGTGACCCTGTGTTCAATCCAACGAGGGTTGCGACCCAGGACGAATATAGCAAGTATTTGTATCAGTTTAAGTCAACTTCACTCATTAGTCGCAGTGTCAAAATTAGCAGTGAGACCTACCAATTTCCATATACTACAATTTGGGGAGTCGACTTGGCTGTCTTTGCAATCCGCACAGTATGTTTAACGTCTAAAATCATAAATCGTCCATCCACGAGAAATCAAATATTGGCTGATAATGTACGTATTCATTTTGCTGAGCTATTTTTGTACGGGGTTACTGGCATTTATTTTATTCCAAATCTATTCCAGTGATGTTCCTGCCTTACGGATAAATTAATCGCAGATCACTACCCAACAGTAACCGATGCCTCTCTGTGAACTGACAATTAGGTTCTGTTACTAGCCGATGAAGTGCACTAGGCCCATCCATCCACAGACAGTCGATAACAGTTAGTATGCCATTCTGTTGAGGGCTACAATATATTGGAATAAACTTGGGACCGACTGGGATTTCATAGATTTCGTAGGTTTTAAAAGACAAATCGGTATTGTATCGGCTTGTATTCCTAGATATTGAACTACTGACAGCTTCTTATGATGAATATAGGTCAAATTGACGAGACTCTAAAGGGTTGTACCATGTATAACACACATTAGGTGTACTGGGCGCTCTCATTTAGACGTGTTTATTTTTGTGATACGAACTCGTCTATTCCACTGTGTACAACGGGAGCAAAAGTAATAGGGACACACGGTAGCATTAGTTTTGGCTAGGTGAACGCCTGTTGCGCGCCCTGGTGTTCCATTCTATCCGGTCGATTGCTCGCGCTGCTTTACCAGTGAGCGAGCTTATTCCTGCTAACGGCGAATGCCAAAGTGTGGGCGTACGCGAATTTCGGTGTCTTCATACTGTCTGTCCCATGGGGTGTCCATCGATCGTATTTTGTTGACCAACCAGCAGAATGGGAACTTCCTTTGCTAATCGTAGCTGTGTAACCTATCGAGTAGGTTTCGCCGTTAATAGTAATGATCACCGGCGCAGCACTGAACGACACCGTAGGGCTTCACAATATCGCTATCTACACTACTTGGATTTAAGTAATATTTTAATGAAGTTCATACAATTGGACTCAGTAGAGCAAGCAGTAGTTATTCAGATTGCGTTGATTAGCTGCAGCCGTCCAGTTGCATCAAATATGATACTTATTACATGGTCACGGTAGGAAGCGACAGTCGTTCAGCTGCTTCCATAATAGTCGTAAACTACGCAAACACTTAGCTTCCTTTCACCAGCATTGCTGTTACTGTTCTCAATCCCAAGGTTTAATGAAAGCTGTTGGGTGCGCCTTGGTTATTACTCTGTAGCGGTGACACGCAAAAGACGTGATAATTATGAAACATCGCAACTCATGACGTCCCTAAGCTGTCCTCCGTGGTCTTTGTGGCATGAGCTGGTGACTGGCGGTTCAAGACACTGGTAAACATGGGTTTGGATCCTGCAGACTCAGATGGATGCGCACAGCTGATGCCAAAGTTGGAAAATCCAGTATAGCGGTTTTACGGACATGTAGAAGATTACCTGATATGGAAGCTGTCGTGACGAGGTCTAAATTCAACTAGGAAACAGAAGTTAGTAGCACAAGTGAACTATCGAAAGTTGCAAACCACTATAAAATAAAATGGTGTGAAGTCCTGCAAAAGTCAGTTCATGTTCACTACAAAATCTGCTTTCCCGAAAATGAAACGCTACTACATCGGATTATTGGTATACGTCTAAGTTGAACGCTCGTTTGATTTATTCCATCTACCTTTCCTTTTCCCCTAATGCTGGCTTGCTTCTTTCCTCTACCGGTAAGTCGCAAAGTATGTCTCGGGATCTGACTTACACCTTATTTTACTCGCCGAGGCCACGGTAACCAGGCTGTTAGATGTAGTGTCTGTCCAAGCGGGTGCCACACACTTTCGGTGTATTATCTAAACCTATCACTTTCATGCCCACAGAAGTTACTTGTAACGCGCTGATTTACCCATGAAATTCTTCTACTCTTCGCTTCGTGGTCTAGTCTACAGACCTTAGCCGGTCGCTGATGGATATCGACCAGCGTTTCATGTGTGTCAGTGTGTGCATGCTAATTCCGGCACTGGTTCCGTGTGTGTGCGTCTACCGACGACCTTGAATCTCCAACCCTACTCTTCGCCGAACAGGACACGTTCAGCCCGGAGCATGGATCGCACCCGCTCCCCCATTCACTGGTCGCTTGTCCAAACACCATGTTTATGCGTGCCATTAAACTCTCACCCTGTGATTGGACTATCCCTTGATTGGTCAACACCATTAGCCTAAATACTCGTAGCACTCAGGTGCGGTGACTTACCTTGGATTGTCCGGCGTAGACAACTCGTTCGCTATCGTTCCCTATTGTTTACTGACACCGTGTTGTCAACTTGCATATACCGGGATACTGAACAATTGAAGTATGTCCCAATTATCAACTGTATATATTTTAATAGTACCGTAGTATTTGTGATCCAACTTGTTTTGATTTCGGAATCTTTGGCTACGCGTTATTCAACGTTCACGGTGGATTTTACAGTATTCAATTGGTTCTCGCTTCGACGGATTGCTTAATTGGATCCCTCGGTTTGGTGGTACTCGTATCTGGAAGTGCCAAATTGGTTCCTCTTCGCAATGCCAGTCACCCGCGCATCCACCGGGTCAAAGGACTCATCCAAGTCAAGGCAAGTCCCTCTTGATGCTGTCTCTCACTCTGGCTCTCGGGTTAGCTCTAGAAATTCAGTTAGCAATATGCGCTCACAGCTCCTGCTTGCTGAGTTGAAAGAAAAGCAGCTCAAGGAGGAGCTAGAACTAGAAACTAAGGAGCAAGAACTTAGCAAACAGCATAGACTGTTGAAGGCTAGACAGGAGGTCGAATTCGCCCAGCGTAGCGCCTTGCTGGAAGACGAACAAGGCGATGTAGACCTGCCCGCACTCCCTATTTATTCGTCAAACAGAGTTGACGAGTTTGTCACGGAATGTGCTGCGGTGGCTGCGAATCAACCATCCGCCGGTTGTTATGACGATTTGCCGATTGACCCACCCACTGCCACGTTAGGAAACGCTATAGCGTCCGCTCTCGTCCTACTTATTGTGGAAGCTGGTCTCCCCAAAGTAGAGCTGGCTTATTTCGATGGGCACCCAGCTGACTACTGGAGGTTCGTCAAACAGTTTGAGTTCTATGTGGAGAGCAAGGTGGTAAATGACGGAAGACGTCTGCTCTACCTCATTCATTACCGTAAGGGACGAGCTAGACTGGCTATTGGCAACTGCGTAATGCTGCCGCCCGGTCAAGGTTATGAAAGAGCTCGACGTATCCTTCGAGACCTCTTCGGGCAAGCACACTACATTGCTAGGGCATCGATAGAAGGCCTACTTCAAGGCGCGAAGTCCATTCCCAACAACGCAGATGCCCTGTCGGAATTGGCCATTAAGATGGAGAACTGCCACATCACATTGAAACAAATGAACTATGAGGCAGATTTAGACTCCTCCACCACCCTAGAAGAGATAGTCCGTGCCCTACCGAAGCCCCTGCAGTACAAAATGGGCCGAAATCGTCGGTCAGCTAACGCTTAGTGGTCATGAGCCCAGTTTTCTGAACTTAACCACATTTGTTTCATCGCGGGCACGCATAGCTCGCAGCCGGTTCGGACAGTTAGCCGATCGATCACCCCGTGGTGTTGAAACGACTGTTACGAGAGCTCCTCCAAGGAAAGAGTATATGGCGATAAGTAGCCATTACGCTGGTCAGAGAACTAAGTCGCCTGCCCGCCTCACCCACTCCTGCCCGGTTTGTTCGGACAACCACTTGGCCGTGGAGTGTGGAATATTTAGAGAACTGGACATATCGCAACGATGGGAAATGTTAAAAACCAAGAACCTCTGTTTCGGTTGCTTAAGACCGGGCCATATCGCCAAAAACTGTGGCATTCGCCGAGCCTGCAATGCCGCTGGTTGCCAATCTCGTCATCACAGCCTGCTCCATGGTGGCGAAGTCCCCAAGTTAACTCACGCAGTATCCACAGATCAGGCTCGCTGCGGAGTCACAGACGCGGGCTCGCGTTGTGTCGCTCTTGGGGTGATTCCGGTGACTGTGTTCGGTCCGTTCGGGTCGATAGAAACCTATGCACTTCTCGACAACGGTTCAGATACAACACTGATCACCCAGGATCTCGTCGGCCGCCTCCGTACGCACCTTTTTCTCATAAACCTTTCTGGTTGATGTGTTTAACTCTGAAAACGAATTCTTACTGACACATGGGACTCTTTCTAAATCCGTATTGCAACAGTTGATATTCCCTTACTGACTTTTACATTGACATAGCAGTCAACAACGCTTGAAATTGCTTTTCAAAAATCTTGCATACACATTTTAGGTAGCATTAGTGAGGCCTGCTGTCTCCACCTAATGTGATCAAGCGATGTCGGAACAAGTCGGTGTACATCATTTGGACGGGTAACACCCAATTTTCATCTGATACCTTAGCTTAGCTATTTATGAATAACAACAGAATTGCGAACACTTGCATCAACAAAATAGCAAAAGATCTTATTGCGCTAATTTTTACTCTTTCTGCATGCGAAAGGTTGAAAGACTTATGGTTGGAAACGTAGCCGACATGGAAGCCAGCAAAACTGCCCACCTTGTAATGCTTCTTCTTCATCATGTGTTTGAAACCGACATCTATTACCAGTTGAAGCTAACTGGCAGCTCTACTCCACAGCTATATCGGTCACCGAACATGCAAGAGAGCGGAATGCCACTTAGACCGATTCTGTCAATGATGAATGCGCCGCAGCACAAATTAGCTACCTAGTTAGTGAAGATCCTTTTACTGCTGCGACAACTAGTCAGCCCCTATAGTCTTAAGGATCCATTTCAACTTATCAATGACTTGGATAACATCAACCTGTCCGATAAATTTATGTGTTCATTGGATGTGGAATCGCTGTTCACTAACGTTTCACTACAATAGACAGTCGATTGTATTTGCGAACTAGCTGAGCAATCTGCCCATTCATTATCAATTTCAGTCACTTTTCTAAAAGAACTACTGCTGTTGTGTACTGAAAATGTTGGCTTCCACTTCCAGTATATGTCATACAGTCGAACCGATGGAATGTCAATGGATAACCCATAAGGCCATGTACACGCCGATTTCTCTAGGTTGATGGTAGAAAGAGGCTTATCCCAGAGATAGCCAGGCTGGCATACTAGAAGTGATATGTATATGACATACTGGCCTTTTGTTCATCGAAGCCGTAGATATTGCCGTTGGTAGAGCAGCTTAACAACGCACATGCTAGTTTTCGGGTCACATGTGAGGTCGATCAGAAGAACTGTCTACCCTTATCGAACATCCCTAGCAGTCGCAGAGATGACGGACAAATTAAGAGGTCCGTCTGCAGAAAATCTACATGGTCAGGTCAATACCTGCATTTCACCAGCTTCATACTAGTGTGATACAAACGGACACTTGTGAAAACTTTAGTTAGTCGCGCTAGACGAATTTGCTCGGCGGATTGGCTTGCCGTTCAGCTAGAGTTACTTACAACTACGTTCAGGGGGAATGGTTATCCTCGCAGATTCCAAGAGAAACACAGTCAAAAGCGAGGCACAAAGGACTTAGTGCATCTAGCAGCTAAGAAAATGATCTATATGGAGTTGCCTTTCAAGAGTGACTTCCTACACTGAAGACCACTAACAGTTTAATTTTTCTACGCAGCTGTTACCATGCTGCTGAAGTTGTGGTCATTAACCGAAATCGTAATTTGCCTATTCCTTCGATGAAGGAAGCTCAGCCGATCGGGGCCAATTCACCCTGCGTATACCAATTCGTGTGACAGCGGATCCAGTTATATAGAGAGAACTGATCGGTCTTTGTTACCGAATAAAGGAATTCGTACCGAGGTGGATTCAGTGTGAAATTTACCAACCTTGCTGCCCCCCTGAATAGTCGTGCTCGCGCAAGCCGCCAACTTCATCAAGTGGTAGACACCTAATGGTAACGCGTCACGGGGTACAGCTTCGATCAGCGTTCACAATCGGGTTACGTCACCCTAATCCGCGCTTCTTCCGTTTCGCCAAGGCTACGGCAAAATTTGGATGAAGTCAGCCCAGTGTGTAAAAACAATTATTTGAGCATAAGACTGCCATGAAGATAGGGGTCGAAATTCCGCCGCTCAAATGGCAACTCAGCCTTGCTTGGTCACACCCATAGTTATTTATATAGTTGCATAGCGTTTATTGTTAATGGTACTGACGAGACAATACAAAATGCATGTAGCTACCAGTTTTCATTTGTTTACCGCATTGTTCAACTTGCTAAAAGGAACTAGCTGTTTTAAAGTTCTTATGTATCGAAATCTGGTCAAAAGTGCCAATACAATTCATGCTTCTGTTTCAATTTAATTAAGCTTTAGGGCAAGGTACATTCATTTGCCATTCAGCTATTTCTGCTGTCCCAACCTGTTTTGTCTTGCAGCTATTAATGAGAAAAAACTCGAGCACAACGCTTGTCTTTCCATTGCATCACACTGAACACGGTAACAATTGCTGCCAAGTCTTAATCACCTCGTTTCAGGATTTTGCCAATTGTAAATGTAAGCACGTTGTTCGTGACGGGTTTACTACTCTGCAATCGTGTATCTTTTTCTCTTTCATATACTGCACTGGGTTGGACTTTTAAAATATTGTCACAATCTAACCTGTGCTCCTTACTGTGAAAGTGCTGTGTGAGCTACTACAGAACACTTTAACCTTGATGTCAATCTACCATCTTTTGCATCTTTTTCACTTTATTGCTCTTGAAATATGTATCACTGTCGGTTTCAAGTTCGAGTCCGAGAAGTCGTCGTCATCATACTTCCCATCAGAATGAACAGATGGTGCATCAGAGAGCATGTCTTCTTCAATAATAACAGACATTTCCTGCTTTTGCTTCGTTTCATAATAACGGCTGCATTGTAAGGAAATTAATAGCTTCATTAGCACATGACAAGAAAATATTTCGCTAAGAGAAATAAAGCCATTTTGGTCTAAAGAGAAGATTATTTTGTAATCATATTCAAAAATCAATAATGATTGGTGATCCTGTTACAAGAATATTTTCTTAGTCGTCGAAGACAATTCAGAAAAGCTCATTTTTACTTTTCCCGGGTACCTATGTAGGCGTACAGTGTAATGGCAATGTTTTTATCAGCATGGTGGGTCACTTTTGGTGGGTTACATACTTCACTTGCTTAACATGAAGTTACTTTAGAGTTACATTGTATTTCAATTCGATGTTTTGGATGATACATATTTACGCTTTGAATGTAGAAAATAAAAAGGAGACACCTTTAGCGGTTTGACTTATTAGCTGCAGTCTCTGCCACAAATACATGATGAAGCTTAACGCAGCCATTTCGAAAATTGTCGATTTCTCCGACAACGTTGATCTGCAGACCAGTATCGACACGTAGTTTCCGTATAGAATAGCAGAAGTTGTTCTCTATAGAGGTGGGGGAGGAAAGTGAGTCATTAAGCCGATCGGCATCGTCTCTTTAAGTCGGGTAAATAATTTCCATAGTAACTGGAGGTGGGACAAAGGATACATGTTTAGTATGGAACAGTTAATAGCCTGATCACTCGTCATTAGCGCTTTTTACAAGGGGTTGGATTAGAACTAGATTCGTCTCTTCGCTAGATTTGGGTAGCTGTTTATTGTGCGTTAAATCAGGTCAGCTCGCCCGTAAATTATAGTATATATGAACAAAATTCATGAATGGAAAAACAAATATTAAATCAAGACTCTGGTGATCATATTTTGTTTTATTAATAAAAACCTACTACTACTGCTTCCTGCAGACGGGGACTTCCATGGCCAGGTACCTTCTCCTTTAGGCCGTTCAAGTGACAGTTACCATATCCAAATTTCGACTGTGTAGATCATTCATCGGCAATTAAAATTAATATTATTCTTATAACCAAAAATATGTGTACGGTAATTTATTGTACAAGTACATTTGTTATTGTTGTTAATCCCTTGACCAATCTCACATTCTAGCTAGATTCTTCAGGTCCAAATTCAAACGGACTCGGGCGTATTACGTGCTGCCACAAATTCCGAGACTAAACACTTGAGTGGATTCTGTTGGCCGTGTATATGAGTCGAGGTGTGACAAATCTACTTGAAACGCAGCCCGAATTGTGACTCGAACCCTAAACGCTTTTAGTAAACCCGCTTGGGCTTACCGAATCCAGTGGTCTTTGCCACAACGGTTGTTACTGTGGTTTTGGATAACCGTCGCCCGTTTAGACTGGGACAGATAACGTTAGTTTTCTCTGCGCTTTGTTCCGAAGTGAACAGTGGTCATTCTGATTACCGGCATAATGAGAAGAATTAGCTAAATCGGCCATGGCCCTTACAATAAACGTCATTTTTACTTTAGCTTCTGCGGATGTAAAAGTTTCGTAGAAATATTTGACATTCTGTCCAAAGTACTTCCAAAGTCACCAAGACCGTCTTGCTCTCTATCTTTTGAATACTAAACCAAAATATCGTGCACCATTTGCGATTTGTTCCTTTTGAACACGAAATGCTAGTCCATTTAAAACCAATTTTGAGGAAAGGTCGCGGCAAAACTCTACTTTGTTGACTGGAAAAAGCCCGACGACCCTGTTTATCAGTTTGCGCTCAGCGCTCAAGTACGCGGTTCTTTTTACTCCAGTAATATCAGTGCGCTTTTTTCTCTTTCCTTTATTCCGTTATAAAATTTTGCATTTTGGAAGATGTCATTTCATTTCATCCCCACTTATTACTGGAAAGTATTGTAAATACACCCATCCTGGTACGTGAAGCATGTATTGACTTGAATTGAATTGAATATAGTCAGAAAATTATATTTGAATCCACTTAACGCAATCACAACAATCGATTGTTGCTTAAAACTCAGTAAGCAGCTTGATGCCCATGAACCGGTTTAACGAAACGATATCAAGGATTAGGTGTTTACCATTATTATAAGCTGGATGGTTCACCTTCGAATCCTACGTATGTCTCACATCCAAGGGTCACGGTCGCGGTATGGAAACACAGGAAACTCTGATCGGCTAAGCGGCTTTCTGGAGATCGTATTAACTTATCTGGTTGTTCAAATTCATGCCGGAATTCGTGCACAACAGTCTCAGTGAAGCTATGAGCTAATAAGTGCTGCTGTTTGAGAGTAGCCAATGTTTCTGATTTCACGCGACTGGACCGATGCGATCACATTTCCTGCTGCAAGGGCACCCGACGAAAAACTGTGGTGGACTAGTCCAATTGAACCAAAGGAAATCTCGCCTTCACTAGCTTAGCTAATGTCACCAATGCATTGGATAGTTGTTTGGGAGTGATGATCTCAGGAGCTCATCTACTATGCAAATTTTTCAAGAAATGGTCTGAATTTCAGTGCTCCTGAGCAACATGGACGGATTCACTTTGCGCACAACCACGTTGCCCAGCCGCCTTCACTCAGAAAAAGGCTGCAAAACCTAAGAGCACCCCGAATTGAGGAACTTCCTTGATTGTATTAACCCTCTGTGTCCTGGCGGTACTTATAAGTACCACATTGTTTAAATTGTAATATTGCTTCAGCGCAAGCGTTATTCCTGCCAGTACTCGTAAGGATACGTACAATAGCCTTCTGTCAACAAGTAAGTGATAGCCAGATTTGCGATACTTTGCTGTACAGCGTGTGGAATAAAATTTATGGTTCATGTCGAGCTACAGGTAAATTTATTCAGGACTCAAAGGATTAAAATTTTGAGTCATAACTTACGTGGGAGCAGTTGAGTAACGCCTAGTTACCGAAATTGTCAAAGTGCAAAACTACCTTCGCCGTTAACATTAAGTCTATAAAGTATCGAAGCTTCCAGACAGCAGCTTTGCCTACTGCGGAGGGCGTTTGAGTAGCTCGACCCCTCGTCTTCTCCCAGCTATTTGAAATAAGAAATGCCCTCTATACTTTAAAACAGAAAGCAGGACATAAACCGTGAGATGATTCATTCATTTCGTGTAAGCTTGTCAGTCACGACTCACGTAAAGGCATAGGTATATAAAACGCAGTCATATGAGATAAACAGGTAGCCAAAAGTTGGCCAATTGTCAAGCCTCACGGTGCCATCCTAGATTATGATACACAGTCAGCTGTTGCTTCACACAAATCAGTGCCCGCTCTCGATCGATGACAACTGCTTCCAATACCCTGAGAATGTGAGGCCGCTGATGGCGCATATATTTAACGGCTATATTAAGCCCCATTCAGTATGCGTCACCCACCTCCGGCAGCAGTGGTAAAAGCATGCTGTTGCCGCACCCGCGATTTCACAACAAATGGTGTCTAAGAATGTAAAGCACTTCTTCTATCTTCATTACCAACTAATGCTGAAATCACTGGTTTAGAGAGGACTGTATCGGTGTCTATGTGGCAATTTACTAATGACTCGTTAGATCCTGGGGATGCAAAATCACATTCTCGTCATCTTCCGAAACAGTGTCATGAAGCCACACAGGTCGTCAGCTAAATCTAGGCATAAAGTGTAGTCTGCTGGAATGCCGCCGGCGTGTTTTTGTCTTCGTGTGTGCCAACCGTCGAACGCCTACCACACTTACCTTATTCCTTCCCCCCACATTGTCGGCACTCATAAAATGTGTAGACGATGCAGCCATACGTTTACATGGCACTATCTGACGGGGGTTTCAAAGTAACACAAACAATGGGTGTGCTCAGCTTCACTTTCTGGTACGTCGCACGCAGTTCAAACGAATTATCTCGTCGGTATCACTAGATTCTTTCGCCCGATCTGCCGCGGGCGGTGTGTCTATTCCAAACACACATCCCTGGCGTAGGCAACCGCGATTCTTCTCAACAACGCGATCGCCAATGTTTTGGGTTTGCGGTTGCGTGAACAAATCACATCACTATGGCCATTCCGACACCTTTACTTTTTAGTTACTCAATCCTTATTTGCATATCTTAACCATATCGATGTATCGTATTTGGTCGTAGGATGAAGCATTGAAAACGCGCTTGTACGCCGGACGATCTTTTGATAACTGAAACAGGAATTCTTCACTATCTTAATGTAAAGTGTTGTGCTGGGTGTGCTCAGACTAGTGAATCACACTAACATGGGACAACAGAATGCACACATTACGAATAATCCAATCTTTCATGCCCCCAACAGCAGCATGAACCAACCTAGGTGCTTAATTAAGCGTGTCAAGAAATTTAAGACCAAGCATGATCAATAGAATTGTGCATATTACATAAGTAACAAATATTGTGTTCCAGGGTCTGTTGGTCAAATGACATGTAAAGTGGATCGCAGCTGCATGTTTACCTGGTGTCGTGCCGCGTCACGTGTGCAACTTTTGCGCTCATAGCTCTTTGGAGGGCGCAGCTGCCGTGGTCTCTCCCTATGCACGGTCTTGTGATGACAAAGAGCGGACCGCTGTCGAAAACGCTTATTGCAACCGGGGAAGCGACATTTGTGGGGCCGTGCGCCCGTGTGAGTATTCATGTGCTCCTCCATGTTGTACTGTCGTAAAAATGTTCGGTTACAGTCGGGGTACGAGCACACAAATGCGGTGCGCTCCTTTCTACTCTGGTGCGTTTGGCGATGGCGAGAGAGGACTACGCTGGTGCTGAAGCGCTTACCACAGCCCTGACGATCGCAGACATATTGACCTTTGGTGAAACCCTCAAGTACGGTTTTACTTGTGACATCACTGAAGGGTGAAGTGTTTCGCAGACTAGAGTGGGATTTCCGACTGTGAGTTAGCTGATGACGAGCCAGCTCCGATCGATAGTGAAACTGACGGGTGCATTGTGGGTACTCACATGGGAATGGTAGCTTCGGGTCGTGGATCATGCGGTGCCGGAGAAGGCTGGTTCTGCTGCAAAACATCCTACTGCAACCCGGATGGTTGCACCAAAACAGTGAGTGACAGTCCTTCTGCAACCCACTCTTTACTCCGGTGGGTAACAAGTGTGCATAAGGGTCCGCATTTTTCCAATTTTCTGATTCTTCAATATCCACTAGTGCCGAGTTGCCCATCCAAGGGTTTTGATGGGAATCATTGTAGGTGGGTAGTGTCGACAACGAGATGGTCATTTCACTGCTGCCGTGTTCTCGTTGGTTTGCAGCTATTTTCTCTGGGGTCTCAGTCCAGTGTCCAAACCTCGTTAGTTGTTGGACAGAAAAATCATGGGAGCAATACGGAATCCAACTATTTTTATCCTCAACCTGTCCGGATGTTTTACCTGTGTTTGAAGTTAGCGTCGTGTCACCGTAGAAGTTGGGATTCACTATGTTATTCCTCTCCATGTTCCCACTGAACCGAGTCACTAATTGGAGAAAATACGTTGTAATTAATTGGACCAATGACGTAACCGGCGAAACTTGGGATTTAATGTCACTCAAGTAATGGGCGTTATTCAAAGCCAACTGTGCGCATATCGACGTCGTTGGATGTCGTGTGGGCCGTTCCATCTATAAAAACGCGTAAAAATCCACCACACACCACAAGGATTTGCTGGGATGGGTTATACACATTGGCGCTTGGCAAGCTACTTAAGTTAGTTTTTATCGACCGATAAAATTTGGATCTGCTTTCTTATCGAGCGGACGGCATACGCCACATGGATGGGTGTGACCCGCGAAGGATTACGGCTGGATCAAATGTACAAAGTCTGCCGGTAGGTAGTCAGTCATAAAAGAGCAAACAATGACAATTGTTTCAAACAGTGAATAGTCCCCGTTTCAGTCATGAAAAGACGGTCTAGCAAACAAGCTCCCCTTCGGTGATTCATCGTCAGGCCAAATGCAACACATGTAAGTAGTTAAGAGAGGAAAGGGTGGATTGAGTATCTATACCATTTCCCGGCCAAATTGTCCTCTTGGGCAACAGAAATAATCTGAGGGGGCATTCAACATGAGCCTACTCAATTAATTTGTTCCGCGCGTACGGCAGTCACTTGTGCAGGTGTGTAGGTGTGCGTGTATAGCCCGTCGCCTTCAACCAATTGGACCTCTGACATACTAAGTCAAAAGGGTGCAGGTGGGACGCTTCAGCTCCTACGCACGGAACAAATTAAGTGAGTAGACTCATGTGGAATGCCCCCTCAGATTATTTCTGTTGCCCAAGAGGACAATTTGGCCGGGAAATGGTATAGAAAGTGGAGGTGTCAAAATAGTCTTAATGGGTGTGAGTCGTTCATCGGCAGCTGTCTGTGCGACAGCTGGCCATGGTAGAGCCAATTGTAATCTGCAATTATTAAGAAGACAAAGTTGCGAGACGATCTGTTCGCGGAAAGCCACATCAGGTAACTGCATGTACAGGGCTTAATTAGATAGCAATAGGATAGTGAAAGCGGTTGAGCTAGGCTGAAACGGTTTGGTAAATTAGGCCGAGAAGTAATCGATCGCCTCAGGTAGCGGGGCCCGTGTGGTCGCCGAGCTCTGACCAGCGCTTAATCACATTTAGTTAGCCAGGAAAGTGCAGCCATACTCAGTGGCCACTGAATGGATGCTCGTCTGGGCCGTGGGAGGGGAGCATTTGTGAAAGCACTCTTTGCCTGAATAGCTCGGGTTGTCTCTAGCCTAATCGCCTCCGCTCCCATTGTCTGCAAGAGGCACTTTCTAACCCTATTTTTTCTCTGTTAAGAGAACTGATGGAGTTCGACAGAACGGGTTATATTGAATTCAATTCAAGAAAGAAAATGCATCCAGTAAGGTGAATAATCCGCTGTTACGCACGCACCATTGTTGTGAAAACATAAATATAAAACAATAAATACACAGGTAGGTTAATAGATGGCTTAGAAACAATATGGTTACAATTCAAACTTGCTTGTAAACTTCTAAGCACGTGAGATTTGGTCGCACAAAACGCACCAAATATGAAATTACCGATGAGTTGTAAGCAGTTGTGTGAGCAAAATTCCATCTGTCTGGTTGAAGAAGCTGGCACACAGTCAAGTAGGGCACTAGGAAAGGTGACTTGCATCGGCGAGTATTTTTAAAACAAGCTTTTTGCATGTAATGGTAGGAATGGACGTAAGATTGTCAATAAATGTCGGCTTTAGAACGCCATTACATCGAAACAATCGCGTCAATGACCCAGCTAGTATTTGAAATGCTTCCTTAGAAAACCAGATGTCACAGGGTAACAAATGATCCAGTCTGGCAAGACACGAGTGATGATATTTCAGCAACATGGCCTCATCAGGGGGCATGTAATGAGGCAGCTGGAGACAGTATATCTCCTTAAAGAACTCCGGTCGCTGTAGTGCACAGCGAGGAACACTATACCTTCCTCGTTGGTAATCACAAAATTTAGCACAGATGGCATGTTACCTCTTCTGGACTGAGTGGACAAATTGACGCAACTGTTAACCGGAAAACTGTTTGCGAGCTCCTGCAGATCGACTCTGTATTGTTCTCCGATCGTGGTAGTGGTTGCTTAACAATGTACGTTGAACTATCGCATGCTAAGGATGTGAGTATATCTTCCCTTTAGTGTGTGTCTTAAAGCAGCTACAAGTTGGCAGTCCCTTTCTGATGTAGATTTATGGGGGCCCGTATACCGTTTGTCGGTAAATATACAAATTTATTTCGTTATTTGTTTATTTGTAAGGCAATTGTCTATGCCTTTTAACTGTATGCGACACCAAAGAGAAGCAGGGAAGCGCGTGGCTAAATTCTCCGTGGTGTCGCATTGTAGGTCGCTTCGGTAACACAGCATCACCCCTCCTTTTGTGAGTCTATCTTTCCGGGTAAGCGGCATGCCCGGCAGCGAAGCTACAGCGTTTGTCATTCCGGTGTGCAACCACATCTCAGTGATGCCGACAATATCACACTGTAGTGGTCTGTGTCCGCATTTCACGACATGTCTAGTTGCGGTAAATGTGGCAATGGTATGGGGAAAGGAGAAGAGAAACTACCTCGCAAAGTGTTGCGTGACAACATTCAAGGCATAACGAAGCCGGCAATACGCCGTCTTACTCGTCGTGCTGGTGTGAACCACATCTACCTTCTGATTTACGAGGGGCCCGCGGTGTCCTCAGTGTGATTTGGATAACCTGAATCGCGACGCTGTGACGTACACAGTAAGCGAAGAACGAAACTGTTAAAGCTATTGATGCGGTGCATGCGTTGAAGCGCCAGACCGCAAAATACGGGATGTGCTGCCTAATATCCGCACTTGTTCTTGGACGCCAATGATGAATACGGCTTCTGCAACTGGGTAGAAGATCGAATGGCATTAATCCCAGATGATGAGTACAGTCCAATTTTTTGGATGTTAACACAAACCACCCTAGCGGAGATATAGAAACAAGTGGCGGGATAAAGGCGAAAAGGCTCATCTGGCCAATGAACAGCCCGTATTTATCACCGATGTTTCCTAAGAAAAAGACCGATGTTACGTACTGATCCTGTATTGATTTCAGAGAACTAAACAGAGTGACGAAGAAGGATGCGTTCCCGATGCCACATATGGAGGAAATGTTCTCCAATCTCCATGACGGAAAACGAATTTCCATGATTGATCTCCGCTCAGGATACTAGCAGCTCCCCATCGCAGAAGAAGATCGTCATGAAACGACTTTCAGTGGGAACGGGCAGCAGTATGAAAGTTGAGAATGCCGTTTGGATTGTGCAACGCCTCTGCTACATTCAGATGTCTACTGCTGAAGGTAATGGAGAATCATCAAAGTGCGGTTAGCTATGTAGACGACATCATTATCTTCCCTGAGACAGAACACCAACAAAGTGCCAGGTTTGCAGCCATACTTCAACGACCAGAGGAAGCCGATTTGAAGCTTAGTCGTCAAAAGTCTCAAATTGTCCGGAAATAGGTTGTGTTTGGATCACATCACTTGAAATGAGCAAATGCAGCCGCTTCCAGAGAAAGAGGAGACCATCAAGGATTTTGCGATTCCCATGTCCATACACCAGCTTCGTTCCTTCTTACTAGTAGTGACATACACTTTGAAATGTGTCCCACATTTTGCAGAGCGCATCAGTCCATTATTGAAGCTGCTACACAAAGTCTAGCCGTTCATGTAGACAACGGTAGCAGAGGAAACATGACTCACCTAAAACCATGCATGTTAGAATCCCCAGTGCTTACGGATACCCAGTCCGAGGAAAAAGTTTATGGTGGCAGTCAATGCAAGCAATAGCGCAATCGGTGCAGTGCTGTCCCAACTATCGGTGGAGTGCTGACGGGTTCTAAGCATAAATACTCCACGACGGAAAAAGAATGACTTGCGATCGTTTGGGCCATGAAAAGGTGGTGAACAGACCTCTTGGCGAATGAGGTTCACGTGATGACATATCACAAACCGCTCTCATGGTTGATGACAACGAAAGATCCGAAAGGACTTCTGGTACGATGGGCATACCGAATCTCAGAATATGTCTTAACTATCGCGTGTATAGATGGGATGAAGAACGTGCTATCTGACGTACTATCATGACCAGCGTTGGACGACATCACGCTGGACACGGCGATATCCTTGTGCACATTCACAGTGGAGCATAATAGCCTACTCGAAATACAAAGGGAAGATCAACTGGTAAAATCACTAGGTAGTCATTTACAAATAAGCGCCAAGTCGGCTAACTCGTCGGAGGAGGCGAAGAAAGTTGTCATGATCTGGGACAGGGTGCACACAGTAAACGGCAATCCACTAGTGAAAACGAATGCAATGAAGCTGCCGTTTATCCCACTCAGCCAACGGTAAGATGTGATGCAAATGCTCTATGGTAGGGCACACATGAGGTTTGAGAGGATTTTGACTTGCTGCGGTGAGAAGTATTTTGGCTAACCATTAGAACGAATATTGCGGTGGTGCCCAGGCTGTCAAACTAGCCGGGAGATGGATGCATCCAGATTGCTAATGTAATCGATTGAGGTCAACGAATCGCTACAATGCTGTGAACTGGATGTTTTTGTACCGAAGCCGCAAAGCCGATCAGGTACCACTCACATCCTTGTGCTGATTGATCCTTTTACTTGTTGTGCAGAAGCCATATTTATTAAAAACCAGCCAGGCGGTACCATGGCACAGGCGTTGGAATGCAACCTACCGGCGAAGTATGGACTACCGCACTTCATTATCACTGATCAGTGTGCGTGGTTTAAGTCAAAAGTGTTCCGAGAAGCACTGGCGAAATGGTGCGTCCAGAGACGGCACACTTCACAGTACCACCAGCAGATCAGTGAGATGACAGGAGGGTTTAACTTGTCTATGAACACGTGCATGAACTGCACAAGGTTGGCATGGGAGGAAGCACTGCTCGAAGTACTACTCGTTAATCGAACTAGCATGTAGTCACGTGCCAAGGTTTCGTCCTTGGAATTGCAATTTAGTATAGATCCGAAGAATGCACTCGGTACGTGGTTCGCAATGGATCGCGGGTGCGAAAATCCAGCAGCGCAGCACGGAGGATTGCAAACCAACGCCAGAAGAGAGAACAGAGGCTTGCCAATTACGATATAAGCGAAACTGATACGCAAGGCATGCGGCACACAAATAGAGACCATTCAGCCAAGGTGAGCAGCTAAGACTGCGCAATAACCATCCACTGGCATATAGAGGACCAGGTTCGAGCCAGTTCAACCAATGTTGGAAAGGTCGCTACACCATGACCGACCAGAGAGCAGTGGACTTTAGAATCGACAACGGGACAGCGAAATAGTGGAGGGATACCACCCGCTACGACCATGGCATGCAAGCGAACCACATACTCGAGATGGGTGGGTGTATTGGCGCGGAAGGCGAAAATCCCAGGCGAAATGAACAAGCCGTAACAATTACGAAAGATGAATGCTATAAAGGGCACCAGGACAAAATTCGACAAAGTAACTCGAGACCATCGGAATAAACCGGAACTGGTCTAACAGCAACAAACGATTTCGGACGAAGACGGAGAAGTGCGGGGACGTAGTGGTTAAGAGCCCGAATTTCTGGAGTGATACATATTTGGCCAAGCATTTGGCCAGGAATAACCTAAAGGAAAGCGATGCTCCCCCGACTAAACAAGTCAAAAGCATTAGAACAACTCCAGTCCGGTCAGAACATGACGTGCTGAGGCGATACGAGGGCCAATCTATCAAAATAACCCAGTGGAATGACTGACATGGGAGCATGAATATAATGCTGAACGAAAGGACAATTTGTGGTACGTTGTGGGTTGAAATTGCCCTTTATACGTGCGCGCGTGCATGATAGCCTGCGAAACTTGTGCGTTAGCAATAAAGACTGCTCGTCCGTACCGTTTCGTTCTCGCTATCATATAACCTAGAAACTTGGCAATCGTTCTGTTTGGCAAGCTTATTGAGAAGACACTGAGAATTCGTAGACATGCATTCTAAATTCTGGGTCTCTAGGTGCTCTTAGAGGGTTATAGGGGGCAGGTGTGAGAGAATACCAACTTATGTGAAGTCTGCCGTTACTGCTTTTTATGGGATAATGTCATCTAGTCTATAACTTGATTCGGACAAGGTGCATCCCAAGTTTCGTTTACAGCAAGGTCAGAGCTGAGTAAAGCAGCAGTCTAGCAAAGCTCCTGTATCATCGACGCTGCTTTTGCTGTTTCAGCCGTTTCCTTATCTAGATTATGCAAAGCTTCTGCAGTCTTGAATAAACTTCAGGAGGAATACTTTTCCGATTTCTTCACTATCGATCAAAAACGTTCGTTGCTGTTTGACCTGAGTTAACCACAAGTTTTAGGATTTGTGGGTCGCCTCCTCTATACTTTGGTGAGAGGAGTAACCTGTTAAGTGGCAGCGCCACAACATCATTCAAGGGAAGTGTTTCACGAATGAACCGCCACTGTCCCAAGTCGTGATTTCCGGGCACGTGAATAAGCTTGGAAGGAAGCTATGTCACGCTATGGATGGAGATTGTATTTAGGCGATCTTGCTTGCGGTGTCCTTCTTCTGTGTTTCTTTTTCATTATTGATCGCTCCAAGAACATCAGGAGAGAGGCGTACTTCACGGGATCCGCGTTGTAGTGCAGTTAGAGAGGGTAAAAGATTTCCACATCAATGGAGAATTTTGGTGTTACTCGAATAAATCTGGGCTCGACATAGTGTGCAGAAACCGAGTGACGAGTAACCCGTACTAAGTTTATGCGTTTGGCTTTGACGCACGTCATAACGCACAACGAGTTTCATTGGTTTTCGTCGTCCGATAACTTAGCACGCAATGTGATGGCGGCAGATTCGGGGACATTAGAGCACACAACAGTCGGGGAACTATGGTTAGATCCCATTTTTCTCGAACTACAAGCTAGAGTAACGGTTTGCCCTGACCTGCAGACAAGGAGTGATGGCCCGTTGTTTGTCTCTCTATTCTCGTTGACGATGTTTACAACAGAAGAAACCGCAATGGCGGCCTGCCGACTGACCTTTGCAGCAATCTCTGCATATATAACTGATGCCCCGGGGGACTTTGGCTCGAAAAGAGACTTTGAGCTATAGGTACCGTAGGTTGGTGTTCAGCTGCTTCATCCTTATTATTAGTCGATATCAGATCTAATGGAATTTACTTAGCCAGACGTTTCAAATGGTGATTGATTTTCGTTGCCATGCTTAATGCCTAACTCTCGTAGTTACGATCAAGTTTCGCCTATCATTCTGCAAAAGTTGGAGGAGACAACGGCTAACTATGTTTCAAAGGAAGCGAATTGTGCAGCATTCTTTTGCCTAGAGGCTACTATGCATTCTGTAGACTCGCTTCTAATGAAGTAATCTTCCTTTATCTGTTGCTTGCCTTCTGCTGTTACCGTTCGAACTTTCGTCTAGGATAAGCATATACTTAACCAGTGGGATGGTCGAGCAAGCAGTACAAATCCAAAAAACGTCTTGGGAGCTATTACGCTCTCGTACTTTTTTTGGGACAACGTTGCACACATTGAAGTATACGATTCGAAGCAACGCGAGCGGACTAAACCTAATTAAACTAATAGATGACATTCGCCTCACCCGCAGATACCCTTTACCCAGAGCCCTCTCGGATACGAATTTGTTTGAGTTTTGCTATTCAGCGTTGTATGGTTACCTGCCCCAGTGAGTTGGTTGATGCGCTGTACTTTTTCGGCTCTAACAGCGGCGCACATCGGTCAGGTGAGCGATATGATTACAAAGATTAACGGAGCCGTCGGCATGGTTGCACGATGCGTGTGATGGATTGCGTAGGCGCACTGGCTGAAAAGACCACAAAGAATGGCAAGTGTTTTGGATTTCGATCAATACCTATAGAATGCTAGACGAACAGCAACGTAACGCAAACAAGGAGACAACAAGGGCAAACGGTATTTAAGACACACGATTTCAATTTAGCTCTTTAGGACGAGTGTAAAAATACTCCAAAATGGACTTGAAACCGAGATGTTTCTCGCGTGGATAGCAGCCACAACTCCGGCAAAAAAGCAGACGTAACTCAGACGTTGAAACATTAAGTATAATACAAAAAGGAACCGCCCACCTTGTAAAGCTGACAAATTCGAGTCGAACGAATAGAGCGACAGAGGTGTACGTCCGTACTGATTTGACGACCGTAACGAACTAATGCGGTAAAGCGTAGTGTCTTCCGTTATAAGGATGTTCCAATATGATACTTTGTTCTTTTGTTTTTGGCAGGCGGCACTATTAGTTTAAGTTTCGTTCGTTTTTCTAAGCGAGAGCAATTCCGCTGGACATTTTCCGCCAGGATGCCGAAGACTGGGCGTTGTGCTGTATGCTAGGAGTAAGTTCAAAGGGACATATTGAAATGGTTCGTCACTTTGTGTCATGAACAAAGCCCTCTAAAAGATGTTTACAAAACGTACCGAAAACGGCGAATATATGATATTGACACCTGTCAATGATTAAGCTTGCGCAACAGTCGTTCTTCGAGAATCTGCATATACCTCAGACAGCAGATGACCGGACCGGTCGAGGATACGAAGAGCCTAAAGTGAACACCCAACCGCGTTCGCATGCTGTGTGCTCTCTCATTAGCTACGCAAACCAGAATGGGCATATAGGATGCGACACCTAAGTACACACTATTTCACTGTACCACCTGTTTATTGATCATTCTACCTAGCAACCATACTAATGATAGTTGCTCCACTATTCCTATATCGGGTTCGTTCCAATATGGATGCCCAAAATTTAAGGATGTCAAGTCTAGAGGCTAAAAAATTACCAACGGTTCGTATTGGGTACTTATTCTCATGCCCACCAACGTGGCTGTTAGCCCAACTTCCAACCGGAACCCATACACGTTTGTAGTACTATTGTTGGTGAAGTCTAATGTGTCTCTATCCAGTTTGTGGCAGTTTATACTTAAGTGTGGATAAACGCATGTGCAGAGGTTGTATTAGAACTGTCAATGGACACGGATGAT